CCCCCCCCCCCCCCCCCCCCCCCCAAGCACCGAAGAAAGAGGGACGTACGGAGGTCTACGGCTTCAGCTCATCCCGGCAAAACAAGCACAACTGCAGTTACGCCAAGACAAAACAACCACAAGTGCACACCATCCCTCACAAAGGCGCACACATCACTCTGCCGGCGAAAAAAGTGGGAGGTCAGCCCCCGCAAGCAGGGTCACACCGCTCATACGGTAAGAAGGGCGGCTACGGACGGGAGCAACCCCACCGCGGCATACAGACACGCGCAATGACTCCATACAATGAACGAAGGCGGACTTTGTACACGCTTTCTTCAAAGGGTGGCTCGGGGAGCCGAGCCCGGAAAGCCCTGGATCTTCAAGAGAGTTGTTTTCTTGTCACCTTGGCACGTGCATGCTTGGAGCCGTCATTTCTGAAAGCATACACGGGACGACGCTGAAAAATCGTTCTCCTGTGCAGCACACACAGCGAGAACTTCCGGATGCGTTACCGCTTGGCGCCTGGGGCAAGACGGTACTCTTCTTGAACCTGACGAGTGGAAGAAAAAAAAAAGTTGATCTGGTGAAAAGGGTGGGCATGTAGGTAATCTCGAGATCTGTTGTATGCCGTGCTGTAGGCGTTGGAAGATGTACATTGCATCACGTAAACCCGGGGCGCAATACACGGCTCCGGAGGACTTTTCCATCGTAGCAGTCAAATGCATTGCACCCACGCCAACTGGGCGGACAACGCCGAGAAAGCATCTCCTTCCAGGGATACACCACTTGACGCTTCCACGAAATGCACTGACTTGGGGAGGCGGAATGGGGAAGACAAGCTCGTACAAGTCCTGCGGTCGGCTATGCAAGAATCGCTCAGACAGAAGTTGTGCCACATTCATCGTTTCTGGGGCACACAATACAAAAGTCGCACCGGAACCAAGGGCTGAGTCGCCGGCCCAGTTCCGCACCCGTGCTATATACCGCGAGAGTCGGAGAGATGGCACCCCGTGTTAGCGTTTTTTTGTAGCGTATTTCTCCACAACTAGGGGGGTGCGAACACCAACCGATACCTCTCAGGAAAGCCCTCGACGAGATGTTTCCAAAACTACCCTTTTCGGCAGTGGTACCCCCCTGGTTGTGGAGAAATACGCTGTAAGTAAAACGCTAACACGGGGGTGCCATCTCTCCGACTCTGACGGTAGCCTGTTGACGGCATGGAACCTTTGGGTGCGCTTGCACCGGTCTCGAATGGGTGTACGACGAGGCTAGCGGCCATCACGAACTCTAGTAACACGCTTACCACATGCGAGGAAGAGGAACAACAACGTACAACACCAACTGGCTGAATCGAGGCTGCGCCGCTTGCACGCGGCGCACAGCTGCACCCCGAACTTACAGGCATGCCTGCTTGTGTCTAATCTCTCTCACCCGAATGAGCGGCCTTGCGGGAACCTTGGACATACACTTGTCGTAGTCGGCCATCAGGCCTGCGCACGCGGCCAAGCCCTTTCTCGCGGCAGCCGCATCCTTACCCGCGTCGCGGAGAAAGGCGAGGAGATATGGTAAGGACAGGCGAACGATCAACCACGAAAAGGCGGGGGCGCGTGCGATGGCTGAACATTTGGCCTCGCGGATAGGGTGCTCCGTTTCAGCCCGGCTGATCGGCTATCGTCCAGGAATTACACCTTGAAGAAAGGGTGCGTGCACCTGGTATTGCATTACAGGCGTGCGAAAGCAAAACTACTACGTAAGCGACCAAGGAGGTCAACCAACCGCCAGGACCCCTGCCTGTAAGCCAAGTTCCCGGCAGCACGTGAGCTCAACCAACCACGCTTGTTTCCGTGAACAAGTGAAGCGAGAATGTGCAAGAGAGGGCTGTGACGGCTTTCTCTTCAAACCGTCTTGACGGATGCACCTATTACGATATACTTACAATATTCTGGGACACAACAGCGGTAGTGGGGGTCCACCAGTAACGCGGTGGTGAGGCAGCTGACCGTGGGGCGGCAGCCGCCTTATTCAATGTGTAGAGCAACTTGATTAGTTCCGTCTGTGCCAAGCCAATTTCACCCCGTCTTGTGCAGGGCGACCGCCTTGATCGGGGACCCCCACCGCAGTTGTACGTATGTGGCTCGCTGCTTCTTGTTTTTGTCTGCCGTCTCCAAAGACCAAACCTCTCCCTGCTACACAAGAATGACGGCATGCTCTTGTTGCCGTTCCACAGGACACATGCCCAGCATACTTTCGGAGGGCGCGTGTTTCCAAGAATCCAGGCCGAACATAAACCTCCTAAACATTAACATTCCACCGAGGTGCGTGCGCAGGCTAGTGCCGTCCAGGAAAAAGGCGTGACTGCTGTTGCTGGTACTGCTGTAAATGGCCGTCTATTGATATGGTGCGGCGAATACATACACAATGCGGTGGAAGTTGTGGTACGAAGTAGGCTCGTTTCAGGGGCTGTTTGGACCTTGTCCCCATTTTATGGTGTGTTGGCGTTAAGATGCGGCGTAATTTGCTATTCTCCGAGATGACGTGTGTGTTTGCACGAAGTTGGCTCTGTGTCAGCCCCACGAGTTCAGAGAAGAGAGAGCTAATCGGGCAAGGGCAAAGGTCAAGTGGGCATGTGTTGAGTACCAGTTCGGTTGCAGAGATCTAGGCAGAGTTTGAGTTCAGCATGTGTGTGCGTAGATAGGTTGAACAGCAACAGCAGTGTTGGTATGCAGCAGTGTTGAGTGCAGCAGCCAACAAGGACTATAATAAGCTTGCCGCGCTCCGCGCGCAAGCTCGCGCCCGTATTTCCCTTTATGTGCCACCAGGTTACGCGGTACTGGCTACATGGGAGCGTGGTCCGGCCTTGCTGTCAGCGGAGATGAAAGGAGCGCATGTTTACGTGCGGTCGAAGGAAGAGGGCTGGCAGCTCGGGGCGGTGCATCAGGTTTCGAGGGCGCGGGAGGAGGACCTGCCGTGCAACGTCAATTTCGTCGACCTCGCGCGGCGTTTCAACGTGTCGCCGTCGCCGGCGAAATATCGTACGGCGGTGAATGGTCCGCCTGGCTCATGGTGCTATCTTGCGCACATGCGGTCCGGGAGCGTCCGGCGGAACGGGACCTGAGGGGAGCGCTGTGGTGGAGGTTTTGTCGTGGTGGACGGGGAGCGCTGCAGTGGAGAACAGTTGTGGCGGAAGAGGCGAGCACGTCGGCGCCTTGTGGGATTTTCGTGGTAGTGGGGAGAGCGACACGGCACCTCCAGGGTTCTTCAAGGTGGAAGGGGAGAGCGAGGCGGCACTTCGTACGACCGCAAACGACCTCGTCGGCGCTTCGAGCACCTTCAAACGACCCCGTCGGCGCTTCCCGCAACTTCAAACGACCTCGCCGGCGCCCTTCGATATATTTTTGTTTGTGGGTGTTGTGTGTGTGTGTGCCGGATTTTTTCTACTTGGCGTTGCCGTCTGATGCCGAGGACACTTTTTTTTTTCCGGGGTGTGGTGTGTCGGCTGTTCCTGTTTAGTTCTGTGCCGTTGTGGACGTGCGCCGTCCTTTTTCGGGGGGATGGGGGAGAGGCACAGGCCATTCAAAAATAGTCTGTGTTCGGTAGAAATGTGGGAGTTATTGCTGAAAAAAAATGGTGGGCTGTCCCGCCTCGAGGTGTTTTAGTTCAAATGGGTTGGTTTGTTGGTACGGTGGTCAACGCGGGTGCGAATGTCCGGAAGGGTTGGCGTTCTCAAAGGGAAGGTCGTTGCGCTTTACTTCTAGGATAGGGGGTCAATGTTCCGTTGTGGTTCCACCGATTTCGGGCAGGAAGCTTTTGAAGCTCTTTTTCACCGCGATGATATCGTTCTCATGGTGTTTATTCTTCGGTGAACTTTGGAGTCTCAGGGTAGGCAATACAGCAAGGTTCGTTGGCTTTTCTTTTTCCCCCAAGACCGCCCAAGGTCTGCTCTCCTATAGATTTCCGCAAGGAAGCTGAAGCTGAAAATGTGCTGTGTCTATGTCAAGGTGCTGTTGTCCTTGTCAAGTGCTGCGCCTATGTTTGTCCTTGTCACTGTGCTGTGTATATGTGAAAAAAATCAGCTTCAGCTTCAACCTTGCGTTGGGAGAGTGCGCGTATATCAGACACGCGTGGGGAGAAAATTGGTCAAAGGATCGTTGGTGTATGTGTCTCGGGTGGATTTCATAGCTTCATAAAGCTGGGGTGTGAGTCACAAAACAACGTGAAGCGAATGATTTAGTTGTTGGGAGTCCTCTTGGGGGGGTCGGTGTGCCCCGTCGGGTAGCGCCGATTTCAACAGTCAAATGTCCGATTGGGGGGGGTCACAGGGGTTCGTTGCCGCCTTTCTCAAGGGTGAGTACTGCGTCTTTCTTACCGGGGACAAAAATGTTTTCGTTCAGTAACATTCGTAGTGATGAAGTATTAGCAAGTCAGGTAAAGGTTGTTGTGCCGGGATTTTTTGGGGTTGGTGCCGGTTGTCGTTTTCAAAACACGGCAGCGCAGCACGGGGTAAAATGGATTCTTGACGGCAGACGGTAGGATGAAACTTTTTCATGGAATTCGTGTATGGTGGTTTGTGTGGGGGTACTTGGGCCCGAGGGGATGGAATGCTGAGGGCTTGTGTCGTGAGCGTAAACGAGTTCCCGCTTAGGATGGAGCGAATTCCATGGGGATTTGAATATTGCTGTATTGCCACGGCGGTCGAGACGGATAGATGTTTATGTTCGGAATTTTGTTACGGCTGATGCGAGCGAGACTATACCAGTTTCAGTATAGAAATAGTACTGGACGCCGGTTTCTGTTGAGAAATTCACGATGTTTTTGGATTGCTCTTTGGAGATATCAGAATATTTCCCAATATGCCAAAAAGCAGTGTGGGGGAATGTGGTACGAAGTAGGCTCGTTTCAGGGGCTGTTTGGACCTTGTCCCCGTTTTATGATGTGTTGGCGTTAAGATGCGGCGCAATTAGCTATTCTCCGAGATGATGTGTGTGTGTTTGCGTGTTTGCATGAAGTTGGCTCTGGGTCAGCCCCACGAGTTCAGAGAAGAGAGAGCTAATCGGGCAAGGGCAAAGGTCAAGTGGGCATGTGTTGAGTACCAGTTGGGTTGCAGAGATCTAGGCAGAGTTTGAGTTCAGCATGTGTGTGCGTAGATAGGTTGAACAGCAATAGCAGTGTTGGTATGCAGCAGCGTTGAGTGCAGCAGCCGCCGAGAGACGAATTAACAACAAGTTTCGTCAACAGCTATCTATCCATTCCCTTCCTCGACGACATCCGCAAAGACAATCAGGCATCCATAAGAGACAAGAACCTCGAACCTCGCGCAGAACCTTGGTAATGCAGAGTCGCACTGCTCTGCATTTGATTAGATAATTGGGTCATCAACAGACCCCGAATACCAAGTATAACAAACTTGCCGACGCTGCTGTGTCATTCATCCACAAAGTTGTTGCATCGACGATGGTACAGCAGTATGTACGATGACAGCTCTCACCCCTTCTGGCGGCTGGTCAGCTTTCTCGGAGAAGCATTCGAAGAAACTAGCGGCAGGCTTCTTGCACGACTTGTGTACCAGCGGGAAGTGGTCGGCCAGGCGAAGCTCCTCAGTAGCCATGCTTTCGTAACCTTGTACAGCAGTGGTGTGGCGGGGGAACCATTGTTTCTCAAAGGTCAAAGGAGCGGGGGGGTCGTGTATCACGGAAATTGAAGGGTATGTCGGAGGGCGCTTGTGTGTCCGCCCTGCACCATCTTGCCCTGCTGGTGCTTGCTGCGACTATATATAACTTCCTGCTGCCTGCTCATCTCGAGGGTCTGCAACGCAGCTCTCGGCTCCCACCAGCTAATCATTTTTCATCTCAACGAGAAGAACACGGCGACCACTATCGACAGCACCCCGCTCATCGAGGCAGAGGAAGGAAGCATGTCGGATCTGCCGAACTGGGCTAAGGGAGAAGGCGGAGAGCCGAAGGCCGACTTGGCCGACAAGTTGGTTGATGAGGCTGCCGGAGTCAAGCCGGAGGAGAGCGCCGACGCTGCCGCCGCCGCGGCCACCGAACCGGCGGCCGCGGGGAGCGACCACGCCCGCGAAGACAGCGGACTCGCCTCGCGTGCGCTGTGCTTCTTCAGGTTCCTAGCCGTGTTGACGGTGCTGTTGGCCCTGGTCGTTATCGGCACCAACTGCTACATCATCTACGACAAGTACACCGAAATAAAGGGTGAGCCAGCCGTAGCCGGCGTTGCCCTCCCTGCCTCCGCTGCTGTGGGTTCGGTGATCTGTGTGGTAATGGTCTTCAGCAGGCCCGGCTTTGGTTGAAGGTGTGCTGTGTTCGAGTGCCGTCTCGCCGAGCGCAAACCCGCCGCCTCCGCAGCAGCAGCATAGTATTTTATTATTGTAGGCAGACTGGCAGAAGTACAACTTGAAACGATTGCCAGATGGCCTCCTACTGCCTACTGACCACGGCTGCAGTTGCTGTACACTCCCAAGGCCCAACAACATGTTGTGGTTCGTTTTCAATCGACGCGAGACAGAAGAACAAATGGCAACTCGACGCCCCAACGGTTAAAAGAAACCAATGTGGGCTGTATAACACTACCAAGCCTCTGTTGTAGATTAATGCAGTTGCTCGCCAGCTGGATTGCACGACTGAAAGGTTGCTGCGCGTCTAGGCCAACTGGGTGAGCTTGCTGATTACCCTGCCTAAGCCTGCAGTCCGCTGGTGGTTTGATTCTAGATGCTTGGTTGCCCAATCGAAGGGCCGCTCTTCCTCCGTGTTGCACCAAATGCCGGATGCCCTTCGTATGTCGGAATGGCGGAGGAACGGTTGAACCAGCCGTATTATTTCAATTCCAAAAACCGTTCCAAGAGTCGGAGAGATGGCACCCTCGTGTTACACTTGCGTTTTTTTACAAGCGTATTTCTCCACAACTATTGTACATGTTGGCGGGTGGAAACACCAGCCGATACCTCTCAGGAAAGCCCTCGACGAGATGTGTCCAAAACTATCCTTTTCGGCAGTGGTACCCCCCTGGTTGTGGAGAAACACGCTGTAAATAAAAACGCGAACACGGGGGTGTTATCTTTCCGATAGTTGCGGCACAAGCGGAGCAATTAATGGTTCTGCTCCAATACAATCAGCAGTCAGCGTGACTTCCTGCCGGGTCTCTTCAATGAGAGAGGCAAGGTTACGGTAAGTTGAGGAGATGCGAGCAATCAACTGGTTGTTGAGCCGCAAAACACCGTGCGCTGTGCACAAACTGGAAAAAGCCCTGATCAATTTCACAAGAAACCGGCACGGGTTTCCACCTCTCTCTCGCGCATCTTCCCGAAGTATTCCGACCCTTCGTATGTTCCTTCCCTCTGTTTTCCCGAACTTCCTTTGTAGACCTATAGACGAATTTCCTACGGGCTGAGGGCTCACGAGATCGCAGGAAATGCAATCCTGATGCTCTCTTGAGCCTAGAGCCCTTTTTTCACGGTTTCTCCGCCCGCAGACCTCGCCTCGAAGCGAGACTTGCACCTACCGATAGCCCTGTTTTGCGAGGGCTCTCCCGGCGTGCCGCGCGCTCTCGGGGCGGACTGCGTGCAGCGCTAGCGAGGGCAGAAAGTCGCGTCTCCGACATCTACCATGGATCCACCAATCACGCCCTGATTTCTTGACAGTGCAGGCCGTTCATGCATACATTCGGCAAGCGGCCGACTGACGTGGTGGGTGTGCGCTGGCTACACGCTACACACCCTTATTACCACACACACCAACCAAGCCACCAAGTCTCCGCATGACATGAGACAAAGTACTCTAGACTACTGCTGTAGTGCGTCTCCCTTTCGATCCCGGCGAAAAGCGGGGGGGCTAGCGGCCGGTGTCGTGCGCACAGCTGTCTGCAAAACTACACCCGCCCGAGAAAAACAAAACATGAATACGTTGTTTGGAGGAAGTGCTTATTTCTCAAGTTTTATTATTCTACCCACTCACTCACTCCCCTCCCCCCCCGTAACCCCTCGTGTCTTCGAACAGTAGAGTATTTTAGGGGTCGCTCCTCTGTTTTGTTTTCTTATTGAGGCGTTTCTTCAATTGTGTGGCCCAGGTTATTCTATTTATTATGTTACATTTTCCTATTTTTTTTCGTGGAAAGTGAGCCTTTGTTTCTTAAACAAATTTCTTACTCCGAGTAAATATATACTCTCTGTCCTCCTCCGACTGTCGCGTAACATATGAATTTGTTCATTGTGCGTCTCTGCTCTTCGAACAAACAATCGATTTTTTCCCTCTTCGCAGCATTTCTTCTTCGTATCTCTCATTTCAAGACTCCACCCCCGCACACACTTGCCATCGCCATTCAACCTACGAGCGCAGCGGCGACCGCGAAGCAGTACGCCGCGAAGCGTCCTTGTATATGCATACATGCATACATACGTAAAATCATCATTCACCGATGTAAAAACTTCAACACACACCCTTCGACTCTTATACTGCTGTCAATGGAGGGCCCACAACACCGGTATGTGCCCACGGTGCATCGACTGGCGCTATCCAATATACAGAACGACTACATACGCGATTCAGTCGGTGCCCTACAGCAGTCTCACCGGCTAAACACAGGGCCACCCGCGCTCATCAACCGGCGTTATTGACCCCCCCCCGCTGTATCTCAAACGGGTACAAGTCTTTCTATGTTTGTGTGTACTGGTGTGTATGCTTTTTACAGAGCGTTCGTTGTTCATGCGATTGACAGCAATGGCAAGAAACTGCTCAACCCTACACGTGGCCACTCCTGCATTCACCGGGCCCGTGCTATTCGGTGTCGGACGATAAAGTCATCAACCTCGCAACCGCGTTCCCGTCCCATACAATAGCTTCCGCCACGCGGGGGAAATTGTGCTGGTTGCTTTGCAAAATCTACCACTTGCCCCTATCCCTCTCTGCCCTAGGATAGATAAGCGCTGAGTCCATGGCGTTGTTTTGCACTCCTTTTGTTCTTGTCTGCCCCGCCCAACCTCTCCCCCTTGCAGCCCGCGGAATCCTCCTCCGCGTGTACGGCATCCTGTTCTCGATCTTCGTCATCTTCGCGGAGCTGGAGTGGAGCAAGTTCACCAAGTTCTTCGGCTTCCTCAAGTACTGGCCGGCTAGGGGGCTGTTTTACATCTTCGTTGGGCTCATCACGTGGGATCAGGTGTGTGTGTGTGTCGGGGGGGGGGTACTCATAGTCGTGCATGTGGTAGTCGTTTGACCAGGGGGTCTTGACGTCTCTTGATGTGACGTCCTTTTTTTTTGGGGGGGGGGAGGGGGGCGTCGTTCTTTGGCGGGCAGGAGATCACAACGAGATGCCGCGCGCGCCAAATACGTGCCACGCTCTCAAGTTGCCGAGTGCGCGGGGTTAGTTGTCTTTCTATTTTTTAGTCAGCGCGGACTGGTGCAATGGTTTAGTTCCCTCGGCTCCTAAAAGTCTGGTATGTTCGTTCAAGCTGTTGCGGGCTGTGTTTTAGGTGGGATGTAGAGGTGACATGCCACGTGCGCGCATTTTCTTTTTTTTTACCAAGACGCGAAGGCGGAGTGTCGTGGGAGGTAGGGGGATGTTGTTGAGACTCGGGTGGTGGCGGTGCTGCAGCCGCTGTCGCCTCTGGATCCCACCAATGTCTCTTCTGTATCCCTCCCATCCAGTGACGTCGCTCGTAATGGCTAACTCCAATCTTTGCACCACTCTCGGCACTGTATATTGTATGTCCTACCCTAAAGCCGCTCTTTTTTTGGGGGATACTTCTGATGGACGGGCAGGCTCTGGTGTAGATGGGATGTCAAGACAGCAATACTTGGAAGCACGGAAGCGGCTAGACAGTCTAAGAACGTTCGCTTTTTGCGTGTTATAACTCACCGCCTGTGGTATTGCGTGCGTGCGGCTGGACTCGCCCTCGCCCATCGTAGGTGGTACAAGAAGAGAACATCCTGACCGTGAATGCACTCCCACTTTTCCTTGTGTCTCGTGTCCGCGTTTTTGCGCCCCGCCGGCGGCTTGTTTTGGTCGGACTACCCCCTTCAGACGGATGCCACGAGTTCCAGCTCTTACGGGACATACGAGGACATCGTGTCCTTCCTCATGATGTCCGTAGGCGGGATCTACTTCCTGCTGGTGAGCTCGTCGGTACATGTACCCTCCCACCGTTGATGTCGCGGTTAGCCGCCCCACACACACAATGCTTTGTGGTGTGATAGCCTGGCCCGGTGAAAACTGGACGTGGTCCTTCCCGGCTTTGTAGGGATGCGAGGTCAAAGGTCTAGCGACTACTGCATGCACGGCCTAGAGTGGACACACCCCCGCTCCCTGATGCTTACCGCGGTACTATCTATGTGTACTGCTGGGGCGAAGAAAGTGGGCCCCATAGGCGGGAATATATATATATCGATAGGACAGATAGGCTAGGGAGAACGCTTTTGAGCCACCTTCGGCAAAGTAGAATGATTGGCCATCGGTGATCGGTCCTGTGGGAACGCCTGTCCGTCCTCTCGAGAGGACGCGTGGTCAATGGTCTAACGACTTAAAACACTCAAAGCATGAGTACGCTTCCCCCTTGTGCTCCCTTGGGACGACACTTGGTGTGCATATTTATTAGAATTTGTTGGCAGCTGTTGTTTCCATCGCTGCAAGGAGAAAATGACGGCGATGTTTGCGACAAGTCGTCGAAAGACCTTGCGCGAGTTGCCCCGTCTTGCTTGAATGATGCTGCCCCATGCCGGTGGTTGGACCTGGTTGATGAATCGATGAAGTATGCTATGGGTGGTTTGCTTTTTTGGTATGCAATCACTTCCGTGTGTACACAGAGGGACGAGAGTGCTGCACTCTTCTCGCATTAAGAATCGAAGGCAACGCACCGCGGGAGGGGTGGGTAGAGGGTCTTAGGGGGAGGAACCCTTCTGTGTGACCACGGGTTAGAGTAAACAGCATAAGTGCTGTGAGCGCTGATTTGCAGTCAAGACACCAAAAAAGAAAAATAATGTTTTGTCGAAAACTCACTTCTGACTCGAGGTTTTGCTGAAATTCACACGATGTCTCCGCGTTCCAGGCTTCGACTACCTGTCCTTGGACTCTTTTGTGAATCCTCGACAAGTGTATTGTCGTAGCGCCATTCAAACCCTCGACTTCCTTCGCAGTATGAGGGAAGTTGCGCAACTGAGACGACTCCCCCTGATGGCAATGTTCGTGCCCCACACACCCCCACACCCCTCGTCTCTATTTCTTGTGACAGGGCCTTGCGTGCATGCGGACGGTGAAGGAAGCGGAGCGTGCCCGACTGGCTGACGAGTAAGTTGCTCCTTTTGTCGTTGCGCCGCATATCACGTCGTTGCACCGCATACCACCGTGGGACTTTTCTCATGATCGCGGCGTGGCGCTCAAAAACTGCTGTCTGTCGAGTTTCCAATATTTGTGTTTTCTTGTTCAGTCTTTCAACCCTCGGTTGACTGTTGTTTGTCGGTGTTGATGACGGGGCAACTTGTGCCATGTTGCCCACAACGCGATGTGCTCTCCCCCCCCCCCCCTGTCTCCACGCGTGGAGTGCAAGCGAATTTGTAATGTGTGTGTGTTTTCGTCCTTTTTATTTTGGGCTCCCGTCTACGTAGTATACAACATTCGGTATTTTTTTATCGCGCCGGCTTGGGTCGCACAGGAGGAAGATCAATCCCGTGTTGTTTTTTGTTGCGCGATTGAAAAAACAAAACAGAAAACAAAACGCAAGAACCTATGGAAGGGTCTAGGTTTCTGCGTTGCCTGAACCTGGTTTTCTCTGAAACGTGGTGGAAAATGTGCTTCGCCTGGAAAGAGAGATGCACTAGCAAGCGGCAAGGGGTCCCGTATCTCGCCATACACCCATCACAACTCAAGTTATCCCCCACCCTCCCCTGCCCCCTGCCCCCTGCTTTCCCCTCCCTGCCCTTGCCTACGCAGGAGCGCATAGAGTTTTTTCTTGGATGGAATTATCCGCGTTCAAGAGCGACAGCGTGAGCGAGAGCGGAGAGCGCCGAAGTATTGATAGGGCAGGAGAAACGGACAATGATTGGAAGGGGGGGGGAAATCGGGGAGATAGGTAAAAACCCTCCCTCTTTTTGTCGTCATTTCCTTCCCGGGATTGATTGCTGGTATCATACAGTTTTTGCTCTTTTTTCAAGGAGAAAAAACTAACACACACACACGCAGGGGAGGAGTGAGCGCCTGTACTGGTTAGCTTAGCGGCAACGCTCCCCCCCCCGTGTTTGCTCTTCTGTCTGACCCTCGCCTCCAGACGAGCCATGGAAGCCCTTGCGTCGAAAACGCTGCTTTGTGCCGAGGGAAGAAGATGTTACGTCGGGTGACGGTGATTGTCTTCCGCTCCCGCCACTTTTTTTTGTTGTTGTTGTTCATGACACCCTCGTCTTTCTGGGAAGGTAGGGTAGAGCACCTTGTTTAGATGTTTCCCACTGCCTTCCACTACGTTTTCTTGTGTCGGTGTTTTGCAAAAAAAAAAAACTTTTGAAAAGAGACGTCTGGCCGGTCGGCAAAGGTGGAATTATGTTGTCGGCACAGCTGTAGAGGTGGTACAAGTAGTTTTTGGTGCCCTGGCTGGGTGTCGATGATTTTCCGCGTCGGTTATTGCTCTCTCCTCCCACGCGCTGTCTCTCTACGTCAGGCTTCAGGCTGATTTATTTCCGTTGGATGTTTCTGAAGAAACGCTGGCAAGGGACTCTGGTTTGTGAAAGAAAATCCTTGTGTTGGTTAGGACAGGTGAAAGGAGGGCGGTTCATGGGGGTTGTTAATTCGTTAGACATGCTCTGAGATATATATTTAATTGTTTAACCAAATATTTCTACATTTGGTAGGGTTTTTATTTGGCCGTACAACAGTCGCAGTGGTTGTGGTGAAGGTGTTGGTCGCGTTGGTTTGGCAATGCGCGAGGCAATCATGATGTTAATTCCTGTGAGTCGTTGCTTGGCGGTCTTTGCATGTAAATTTATGTATTGGCGTGCGATTCTTGCGAAACGCACTCTCAACAACAATTATTCTCTGTATAATGAGTTTCTCAATCGTGAGTCCTGAACACAACCTTGCCCTTCCTGCCAAGCGCTTCAGCCCATTCGTTGGCATGCTCCTGGGAACGAAGGAAGGGCAGAAAGGTCGTTTTTTTCCCGTCGCCACGGCAACGCATTATTGCCCAGCTTTGTTTTCTTCAGGCTACATGCATTTTTTCAGCTAACTAGGCGAGACATCGAACGATGCCACAAAGTGGATCGTCGCCGCGTGTTTTGGTGGAAGGGCTGTTGGCAAATCGACTTTTTCTTCACTTGCTTTAGCCGAATCCGAATGAAGACAGGGTATACTTCGGGAGAGATCATTCGCATAGATAGTGCGAACTCCAGACAGACGTGTTACGAGATTCGAAGGCATTTTCCCTATCGTTTCCCTGCGAACAAAGAGTGTGCGTGTAGCCTTCGGTGATAGCATGCATTTTCCTACGAACTCTCATCGCAATGCTTCATCATGTGTCAGGTTTCCGCGGTTTCCACCGAATTTTTTCGTGCCGTGCCGTGCAAGTACTGCGCCGTGTTGTGTTGCGGAAAGTGACCATCACTCGCGTCAAGAACAAGTCTACAGCAAATACGTGGTGCACTTTTTGGTGTTATATGTGCGGTGGTAATATTGAGGCGTGCGCTGCTTGTTGCTGAATTTTCCACGAAAATGTAAGCCTCTTATGTGCTCTTTTGAGCTCGAAACATGCAACGTATCGCGTTTCCCGCTTGTCGTTCTCCGTCGCCTGGGTGGCACCAGCAATGCCGATGATGTCATAGCTGGCTTGTGTTGTCCAAATTTCCGAATACCTTGTTCGCCCCTTTCCCGCTCCAGGCCCCAACATGTCAAGCGGGCACTCCTTGACTGTTTCTCTAGTCTAGCTGTGAACCGCAGTACAATGGTAGAAAGAAAGAGGTCGCGGGAAGACTAGAGACTAGAGAGCACCCGATGAGAAACGAACAACGATCGAACCGAACCACAAAAAACGGCTCATGCCCCCTCGGCATAGAGACAAGCGCGGGTCCACCCGTACTGTGGTCAAGAAGTATTCACAAACTCTCCCCCTTACGCCTCAATCGCGCCAATATTATTGTAATCTCCATCCACTACTGTTGTTGTCGACATCTTCACCCAGCAATTTCGCGTCACCCCCTCCGACACAATCATCACTCAACCCTCCCATCGTTCGCGCTACGCCTCCATCATTTCTGCGTCGACAAAATCATCCCGGAACACCACCGCTATACGACCCGGAATCGGGGCCTTCTGGTCCCTAATCCCCGGCCCTCTCCTCGGTCCCCCCTTCGCACCCTCCCAGGCGTTTGCGGTTGTTGGGCGCTGTTGAGCAATCACAACGTTCTGGACGAATTCCTGCCATGTCTTGGAGACTAATGGATGGCAACTAGACATCGATTTCTCCCTGCACGAAATGAACGCGATCACTGTGCATGGCTGATGGTCCACAGTTTGTTGCAGCTGGTATGCATGAATATCGTAGCTAACGCCGCCACCCCCTTCGCCCCCTTCCCGGTCGCCCTTCGGGTAACCTACTTGATTGCTTTTCAAAAGGCAGTCTCGCTATTCGGTGTTTCAACATAGTCAAAACGGCCATCAGTCTCGATGGCTTGCCCGTCCATTCCACCCCTTCCGCCCAGTATTTTCGAGTCCAGCCCACCACCCACAGCAAAGAAAAGGGAAAAACACGCAAAACCCCTAAAGACTGGGGGTGTCCCTACAACAAGGGTATTCTATTCCCCACTTTTTGTCGTCTCATCACTTTAAATCAGCGCTCACAGCTCAAATGTTTTCTGTCGGGAATGCAGGAGCTCCAACCCGTGGCCACACAGACCGTTCCTGGAATTTCTTTCCTTCACGCCATGTCATCGAGGTCATCATCGTCGCCCGCTTCCTCCTCCGCCTCCTCTTCCTCCTGCTTCACCTCCTCGGCCTTCATGAACTCCGCCGCACTCTCCGGGGTCATGCTCAGGCTCGCGTCGTCCTCAGAGGTGATTGGCCACGTGCCTTTCTCCCCCATTACCTGCCGGTCCATGTTGTTTGTTAACTTCAACAGATCCCCTTCGATCTCGTGGATTATGTATGTTTTCTAAAAAAGCACAACAAATAAATTCTCACTGTTTTCTGAACTGATTGTCGGTTTTTTGTCACGCCAGTTAGACCACCGGTGCGGATGTTGGAGGGTTCTCAGCAGAGGGCAGAACGGTTTATAACGTGAAGACAACAACAACGACAAAAACCTTCCCCTACACAAAAAAATAGGTATACAACGTGACGGTTTTCTCTTCCGTTGGCATGCAACTTTCTCGCTCTCCCACCTCCTCCATTGACTTGATTATTGTCATCGTCCTCTTCTACTGTCTGTCTCTTCCGAATGCCAACGGCGTTCTCAAGACATGACCGAGTGATGCAAACTCCTCTTCCCTCGAGGCCCACTCTGGTCTCACCATCTCCCAGATGTCGGAGTTGTCCCCTCTCTGATACTTGGCCTTCATGACCGCGAGGAAATCGTTGTACCGTTGACCCATGATGTGCGCCACGCTCGCGGCGCGCAAGGCCTTGACGCAGCTCACGGCCTGCAGCCGTTCGTTCGTGTGGGAATACAATACAGCGACGAGTATCCTTGCAGAATGAAGATTAATTAGCGTTGGAGATGTCTGGCATTGGTGGATAAGTTTCACCTCCTAAACACCAGGTTAGTGGCGGAAACAAACGGATATTTATGCGGGGGGGACGGGGTCTTGCCTGGCGCAAGTGTCGCGGTAGACATTGGGTGTGGAACAATGTACTTGCGATGAGGTACTGTAGGTGCGACGAAATTTGAACAGTGTGCTCACTCTTGGGACCAGGCCGCGGCGTGTGACTGGAGGGTGGGTGAAGTGCCAACGATGCTTTTAATGCGTAGGGGATGTTCGGCCCGTAAGATGAGGGGAACATTCGTGAGGTTTTAATGAGTACTGCTTGTAGGGCCAGTGGTCGGGGCACCTTTGAGACTCCGCTTCCCCCGTTTGGTCCATTCGCGGGAATTCAACTGACCGTTTCGCTGAACGGGTAGCAGCCATGTTTGGGAGCTGTGGGAGTTTCGCGGAGAACAAATAAATCGAAAATAAACCCTGTTTCCTGCTGTGCCGTGGAGGCTGGAAGTTTCTTCTAGCCAGCTGTATGGTAGTTGGTGCGAACGGGGGAACTCCAACAACGACGGGAGAGAGAGGGCTCACAAGCAGCGGTTGGGCATTCAGCGGAGAAGAAAAAATCCGGGGGGGGGGGGGGCACCGTGTGCAGTACTAATACGTCCACTGCACCCATGGAGGTCGCCATAGGGTTTGCAGTGTCCCACGTACGTACACGATTGTATATACAGCAGTGGGGGCCCTGTTTAGCCGGTGTGTGCCCAGGGAGTTGGCCGGCACTATATCGGGCACCGGCACTAAACAACCCCCCCCCTGTAACCATAATGGTGGTCGAGTAGATCATGTTGTGCGGGGTCGAGAAACCTCACTCCGCGCAACGGGGGATGATCGCACCACGTTGTGTTAAAATGGTCAAGCTTCCTCGAGGCAGCTACACAGTGCGTACAACTGTCTCTGGAAGTGAAAGCACCAGAAAATAAATTAAGTCATACGTAGCTGTCATCCGTACGCAAGGAAGTAAGCCCAGATGCCGAACACCCTTAGCAGGATGCAGCTCACCCTTCATGCGACTCGCCAAATACCTCACGGCGCTTCGCGCTTGGTGATGTGAGAGCCTGGTCCGGTGAGAACCCGGCGTGCTCCGTCCCGGCTTTGTAGGGATGCGAGGTCAATGGTCAAACGACTACGGCATGCACGACTATGAGTACACCCCCCCCTCCCCCCCCCTGTAGTCGTCAATGACAAGTGGCCAATCAGCACGCACCTTCGCCCGAAGCGAGGAAGTGGTGCCCTTCCTGACCAGCGTGTGGATCACGGCCTGCATCTGTTGAACCGCGAGGTCCGCCAGTTCCTGGCAACAGCAGGTAGGTGTGCAAAGCGCCCGGGGGTGGGATGTACTCATGTAAACGCATGCCGTAGTCGTTAGACCATTGACCTAACACCCCTACAATATCGCCGGGACGGAGCGAAAAGCCGGGTTTTCGCCGGGCCCAGGCATGTACGTTTCACAAGGATGACCCAGCTGTGAGTGCTTACCAACTTGCATATAAGCTCGCCTCTTGGACTTGCAGAGAGGACACACGCCCTCCCTATGGTGACAATAAGAAAGGCGAATAATTTAGAAAGACTATGCCGCCGCCCAAAAGACCTCATCTTGTGCCTGCTTAGGGCAAAACACTAGTGTCAAGATTGCTGCCAAGCAGCGTTGGGGGGCATCAACAAAACGGCCTTGTGCAAGACTCTTCTTTCTCCCTCTCACCGGCCCCCCTTCATCTCCGGCTATCGCTGAGGCCATCATCGCCTGGAAGTCCGACACGGGGTCGATGCTGCCCACCTTCCGTGTGGTCGTGCTGCTGGCCACCGGCTGCTGCTTCAAGGACGTGTCCATCGTTATGGGTCATTGTTTCAGTCTGTCGTTGTTATCCTTTCGATGCTTCATGTTGCTCTTGTTGTTGTTGTTGTTGTTGTTGTTATCGTCGGTGTCAAGATCGCTCTATCCAGTACAGCAGTCGGCCCTCAACAACGCCGCTTTGATAACGCCGGTGGCCCTCTGTAGCGCCGGTCCCTCTTACTTATCGGTACTCGCCAAGGGAAGGAAGCAAAGCAGAAAACCTTCCGATGTACAGCTTGGTTTTAGTATGGGCTACCGGGTGGGGTGAGGGATAGGGATACGAACTCCCCCTCTCTATTCGTAGATGAAACAATAAAATCCTCGCAACGGCGGCCTAAGGCAAGTCCCGCGAGGTCACATCCAACCCAAAATTAAGCGGCATACTGAAAAAGTATGGAGGGTAGATATCGCTGTAGCTGCTGGGGGAATCGCAGGAACACAGGTATGTAATAGTGCTACGCTAACCCTATGAATTCGCTGCTTGTTTATCCTAGAACGTTTTCTGCCCACACAGAGGCAGATTGTTGTTGTGTTGTAAATAGGAGTTTTGTAAACAAAAAAAAGTACAAAAGCTCTGAGGACGTCCCCAACTTGCAAAATGAAGATATCTACCGTCTCCAGACGCCAGGAGGAACAAAAAGGAAAGATGGAAAGTTCCTCTTGAATCCTTCTAGCGACAAAAATGAAGGCAATCACCGCAATAGGAAGTCTGAGAAAGAAAGCTAAAACTCGCTGTGTGGCCTTCCTCCAGTGGTGTGACCCCGGCTGGTGAGTCCAGAAATTATAAGGTAAAGAAAGGTGTATGACCGACGTCCAGAACAACAATAACTAAAAAAAAAAATTCTGGACAGAACACTAACAAAACAGCGAGAGAGAAACAGACAACGTTTTTTTTTGTTTGTCCCATCTAAATACCGCCTGGACCGAATTTCAAAGCTCGAGTACTCCACGACGACGAGGAGGATGAAAAAAACAAACGATGTGTGGTTGCGGAAAGCTCTTGACCAGAGGGAGGGTTCCTTCCACTGCTCGCTGCTATTTTCGGCACTGACTGCTCGTTGCTATTTTCGGCACTGCTCGCTTCCTTTCTGATGTTGAGCAATCGAGCGTTGAAAACCAATCAACGTGAAATATTTTGTCACCTACGGTGGTGGTAGGAGATAGTCTGGGCGCCAGTGTTACAGCGTTCGGTATACTGCCATCATGTTGTATTGCAGCACAGCAAGCCGAGGTCAAACAAACGCACAGACTACACATACATTTATTTCCTGTGGCACTTATTACTTGCCTTAAATATTTCAATATTTGATACGAAGTGAAATAATACTGTCAACTTCGAGCTGCATGACGTGTAAGAAAATCACGAAAAATGTGTATCTTTCACGATACATACATACGTGGTCTACTACTTCGTATATTATCCCACAGAGTAGCTCGGGTCGGTCGGTGGACATCAACCAATACAGTTAATTGTAAACAAATGAAACTAAATACAACAATCATAGCGAGGCGTGCGTACAGCAGGAGGAGGAAGAAGAGTGACCCAGCAGCAGCAGTAGCAGCAGCTAAATAGTCGCAATTACTACTAGACATACATTACATCCAGTCAGTCCAGCGGAGGAGGACCAACACAAACAAACTACGTGCGTGCGTGGTGGTGAGATGTGCGCTCGCTGTGATTGGTGTTGTTGTTGCTGTTGGCTGTTTGTGGGGGGGTTTCGTTGTGGGTGTGTTGCAGGAGGCACCGTTCCTCAGGTTCGTCAACAGAGTCGGTCGCTTCCGAAAAAGAGACCGCAGGTCATCGAAATCAAGTACTTCGCGGGACAAGCCCAGGATGTACTGAAAAACCATCACTGCTCTGAAGACTTTATCATCCTCATCGGAATCGGTGGGTTTGCCTTGTTTTGGATAAACAAAGCGGAGACTGACCTGTAGAAATGATTCTTTTGAGTACAGTCATACTGCTCTCGATGCGGTAGGTCCGTACTTATATAGTCTGCCGCCCTAAACTCACTATTTTGGTCTGCGCCAAACGAACAAAAACTGCGAAATACGTAAAAAACACACATCAATGCTATCTGATGTACATGGTTGCAAGACAGGGGGTAGGGACGTGGCCTTTCCTAGATGTATTGACGAACCGTTCGTACTTCATGTCTACACTTCATCTTCGGCGGTTACTGGGGATTTAGAGCTGTGTGCGCACGCAGGACGGATGGCAGTAATGCGCACAGCTGCTGTCTCTGTGATCTCTGGGGGGAAAAAAAGTCAAACCGTTGTTTCTTGGCAAAAAGAAAGGGCGGGCAACGCACGCGCACGCACCGAGAATTGAACCCACACTCTGCGCCAAAGCAAAAACGTGCCCTCCAGTACAATTCGAACACACCGTGCGTCTATACTTGTATGCGTCTGCGTTGGTCCGTATCTTCCGGAATTTATTCAGGTAATCAATAGGGGTTGTTGAACAGAAAACTGCTCCCGCCGCGATTCACCGTTTTCTTATTTGCTTTCTTCGTGTGTGCGCGGGTGGAGTGCGCTTCCTTCCGTCAAAGAGAGTTGTACTTCTATACAGTGGGTTGCGTAGGATACCATACCCCCCTTGGGACCGATTTTCAAAGTTCATTGGTCACCCCGCGGCGATGAGGACGCCAAAATCGCTTGATGTATTTTCGGAACGCTCGTAATAAGGAGGCTCCAACGCCACTATTTTGGGCATCTGTCTTTATTGCAGAGTAGAAATCGAGGAAATCGGTCAAGGGGGTGTGATATCTTATGCAACCTTGTGCGGTAGTCAGGGCAGGGAACGTCCGTCCGTCCGTGGGTATGTCCAACTCGAGCTATTAATACAGTGCCTGTTAACACTTAACAAGCTTTTAAGTGCCCAGGCTCGTGTCGTAGTTAGTTACCGGGTGATCCAACATCAACAATATTGGTACTCCTAGTGAAGGAAGGCTTCTCGGGCTGAACAGCTTTTTCTGATGGTCAAGTTCTTAAACTTTGGCCAATACAAGTAAAAAAAATATATTCCAAAAGGAACGGCGTACTCTGGCCTCGGATACCTCATTTTAGGTTCCTTGGTGGTGGCGCTAGTTCATCAATGTATCTATGTTGGAGGACCTCGTAAAATATCTCACGAAGCTGTTCAATCTTTGCCGAGGTCCACTGTTGTGATTCCACCCGAGATCAACTTCCCGCTTCCTTTCGCCAAAAAAAAAGCTCATGTCAGACTACATTGGTCCTGCTGATGGCCCCCCTTGGTTTGTCGGTCAAATAGGGGTGGGTGCTGGCTAGCCCCGACGTCGCGATTGCAGAGAGGTTTTCGCGGATGATGTGCCTGTGTCTGTGTGTGGGTAGACATCACGAGATGTGCCCCCCCCCCCCCCCCCCCTGCGGGGAACTTCCCAGGGCCCTGTCCCCCGGCGGAGAGAAAGCTTGAACGAGGGGGGCAACAAAACTGGCAATTGCCTTGCCAAAGATAAAAAAACACAGCATGAATGAACAACACAACTTACGCCCACAAAGCTGATGCTGTTTCAACGTCATGAACGTCGAAGAAAAAATGCAGCATCTCACAATCCGTTTTGGAGCACACAACACCATCCAGGTGTTTTCTGAATTCAAAGCGACATGAACCGCCCCTTTTGTGCGTGTCTCCTGCCCCTCCTTTTGAGCGCTTTCTTTCCAACCAATCAAATGGAAACGAAACAAAAAAAAAAGGAAGAGGAACGGGACCAACATGGCGACAGATTTCCCATTTAGCAAAAAAGGGAGGCAACACTCACCGTGCGTGCATCAGAGGCTAACACACGCACCGCACCGAAGGACGGTAAAGAGCGTGGTTTTCGTCAGCCATACGCTACGTCCGGCAACCTTTTCAGCACGAACGCGGATGGGGGGTGGGGTTCGTACCTTGTCCTGAGGAGCGCCAGCGGAACTGCTGCCGCCGCTGGTCTCTGTTCGACGCTTCTTAGAGGGGGACCTGGAGAAAAAACAAAAAACAATCAGACAAAAAACCAAACGTAAACAATAGAAAAAAAATCTAGACAAACATAGTCCAATTCCGGCAATCCGTCTCTCTCTGGACATGGTATTGCAGGGTCTTAGTTTGTGGCGAAATGGCGAGAAATTTCGTGAGTATTCCATACCATACCAAAATGGAACAAATACGAACACATAAAACAAAAAAAATCCATTCAAAAATGAAACAAATAACCAAATACATGAAAAACACCTCCAGGTGCTATTCAAGTATCAAGTGCTACCGTGTTGTGGGTCGGCCGATGACTCTGTTCACGGGTACTTGTTTCGGCACCGGGAGCACTACGAAGCAGGAGGCAGCTCAAAGAGGCACCAACTCTTGTATCTCTCAAGGGGAAAAAAAACAACCATCATGAGACCATCAGGCGGAGGGACAGTAAGCTCTCCGAGATCGTCAACGCGTGTTGCAGTTTGAAGCAGGATGTGCCGCACAGGCAGCAAACCATGAGCATGCCCTGGACTACAAAACCTGTGGACGGACTGCAGCAAAAATGAAACGGTTCGCCTCCAACGTCAGGTGTGCCACTGCGGTTGGTCGAACAAACAAGAAGCACAGAAAGGACTCAGTCTATTCTGGTCGCAGTCAATCTATGCGAGTCTCAAGTCAGTCTATTCGTTTCGTAGTCAGTCCACTCGTGTCGCAGATATGTCTACTCATGTCGAAGTCAGCCTATTCGTGTCGCAGTCAGCATAGTCGTGTCTGATGCAGTCTATTCGTGTCTGGTGCAGTCTATTCGTGTCTAGTTAGTCTACTCGTGTCGAAGTCAGTCTAATCGTGTCGCAGTCAGTCTAGTCGTGCCGCACCCGTCGCCAGCGGTGGGCTTCTCCGGCTCTGCTAGGGTGAGGTCGCTGAAGTAAATCACCCGCTTCTTCCCCGCGCCCTTGGCTCGCTCTTGCTTCTCGAACACGAAGGTCTCTCGGTATTCCTGCAATCAATCGGCGATGGGCTTCGCTAGTCATACACCATCAACCTCAACAAGACATTTTCCAAGAATTTATTGAATTTCCAAACCTTTAAGTCTGAAAGAAAAATCTAGGAATGAATGTGGGGTGACACGAAAACACGAAAAATGGGCCATTTTATATCTACCGCCTGTATCCTTACGAACACACGATTCTAAAAGCACCTCGAAACGTCCGAGTCAGTAGCAGCTAGTTCTGCATGTATGAATCGGAACATCATTCTTGTGCCAACTGCCTCCGTTGCCTTCAGACCAGTACATTTCCTACCCTACCACGGTCGAAAACACCCATCGTCCGTGCGGCTTGCCAACAGCGGGGGTGCGAGACGGCGTTGTCTGCGGTATGTCCCAGAGAACAACACCATTGAATGAAGGCATTACCATGTTTCATGCTCGTGTTTCATGGGGAAATACCAGAACAACAGAATTCCACCACGACAGTGCAGCATATCATCTGCATGTTCGTATTTCATGTGCAGGGCACATGTACCAGAGCAACACAAGCCAATGACGATGCTGCAGCGTCTCATGCTACACGTTCATATCTCATGCTCATGTATCAGGTGTACGAATCTCAATCTGAAGACCTTAATTAAGATATCAATCACCTCGAGTACGGACTTGGCCCTGTCCAGGAGCTGCGGCTCGGGAGCCAGGGCGGCCTGAACCGAACAGAACGTACGAAACAAGAAGTCTGGGTCGGTGCTTCTAGCTGTTGTTGTTGTTGATGTTGTTGTTGTTGTTGTTGTTGTTGTTGGTGGTGGTGGTGGTGGAGGTGATGGTGGTTGTGGTGGTGGTGGTGGTGGTGGTGGTGGTGGTGGTGGTGGTGGTGGTGGAGGTGATGGTGGTTGTATAAAAAAAGGCTGTGACGAGCTCTGCATAGTACCGTCAAAATATTGGATGCTGCGAGGCAATCGAGGGATGCACTACTAAGCAAAATACGAAGCGTATGCATATATTGGTCGCAAGCAACGGAGACTGCGCATCCTCGCAAAACCAAATAACAAAGTCCCGTAATGACGTCGAAAATGAGACGACACAACAGCAGTTAAAAAGAAAAAATGAAAAGCAGGACATGCTGACAAGAAAGAATTGATCGCAACAAGTTGTCCTGCCTTTCTACACACGAAACACGTCCAATGGTCAACAATTCGCGCTCAAACACCAACATTTCAACAGATGTCCTTACCCTCACGGACGGGTTGACGTCCGGCAGCTCGCACTCTGGGTCCATGGCACGCGCTACCTTTGCCCTGGCGCATGTGAATCAAACAATGAACGCACGATCAAACACATGAATCGGGGGACGGGAGGGTGCCTTCAATGTCGTGGAGGGACGTGGCAATTGGATAACGGACAGACCAGGCGGGATGGAGGAGCATCCGTATTCCGACTGCTAGGCGGCGGGGCTGGGGGGGGGGGGGGGGGGCAAGGGTCGATGAACAGTGTCATTTGTAGTTATCATAAACACGTACCCCCGCCCCTCACCATCGTGTATGGGCCACCGTTCTCAGACAAAGAAGACAACAGACGTCTCCATCAAGTTCCTCAACAATCATGACCCGCCACAGGATAGGCTAATGGATGGCTGGTACACAAACGTGTGTCACAAACCGTTACACGTATCATTGTAGGTAAGCACATCATGGTTGTCGTCCACTGCACCCCTAACACACACACGAGCAAGAACGGCTGCATAAAGAACATGTCAGGAAGAACGCCGTGACGGAGGACATGAAGCTTTCGCCAACCAGGGATGAGTGGGGCGAGGGTGGTGCGTCCTCAGCACCATGCAACGCCCTGTGGCAGGCCTAGGATCAGGTACACTGATAAATTGAAGGAAAAAAAGACACGATCTGTGGTCGCAGGATTTCCACATAAGCAACCCGGCGTTTTTTTCTCCTGGTGTGGTACATGATTGCTGCGGCGATGGTGCTACTGCTGTGTACTGCTAGAAGGGATAAACCGAGCGGAGAACCGGACGGCTTTTGATGTGGCGGAAGGCGTAAGACGTGTTTAGCGTTCAGGTCATGGGTCCTCCCCTGCGAGTACAACCTTTCTTGGGGTGGCTTTCGCCCCACCAATAGGAAGACACGGGGTGGCTTTCGCCCCACCAATAGGAAGACACACCGAGCACGAACCGGCACGACTAACAATGCGATGCAATCACATGTCTTCATGAGTTGCACCGGGGGGGTGGGCGGTCTCTGCTGCTGTCTGCTCCGGCCAATGAGCACTACACTCTACCCTCACCCGTTGATGCCCTGGCGAACCGGATCGAGAACCAGACCGCCGCGAACGCCTCCTTGCATGTTCCCGTCCAACTCGGGGATCATCATCGCCTCCACCAGGGACGCCGAGACTCTCTTCTGTTCGTCGGAAGGCGTGCGACTGGGCGGGGGCTGCAAAACAGGAGAGGGACGGGGGGGGTGTACTCATAGTCGTGCATGCCGTAGTCGCTAGACCTTTGACCTCGCATCCCTGCAATGCCGAGACGGAGCCCTTCGGTTTTTCACCGAACCATGCCACT